TAGTAGTAGTAGTAGTAGTAGTAGTAGTAGTAGTAGTAGTAGTAGTAGTAGTAGTAGTAGTAGTAGTAGTAGTAGTAGTAGTAGTAGTAGTAGTAGTAGTAGTAGTAGTAGTAGCAGTAGTAGTAGAATTAATTATTTTACTAGGGAACTCCCAACAGGCGTTGCCTTTTTACTGGGAACCCTAGGAATGACTTGGTGCTTGTGACAAATGCAGAAAGGGGCTTAGCTTGACGACATCCAGGTGGAAGCATGTTCCATCTGTCTGCTGCCAAAAAATGAAATAGCATTCAGGCCTCGCCACATAACCGCACACATCCATTTTCCACGAAAAATATCCGGATAGGCGAGGGAACTGGATAATGGAACAGACATACTGTATGTAAGCATGCCATTATATAGATTTGGTATTATGGAAAGTTTGGAAACCCCCTCGATAGGCGAAAGCCTTTGGGGAATCCTTAAGGTGGGACACCACCTTCCAGGGTCAAAAAATCAACTTTCGATTTGTCACCTTTTTGCAAAAAAAAATCAAAGCATACTAGTAGTATGCCCTGAGGTGTCAGTATTCCAAATTTGAAGCGATTCGGACCAACCGTTGCAGTCATATGACCGTTTGAAATTTGAAAATATTTGAAAAATTTGTACACATCGATGTTCGTACACTAAAAAGTTTAAAAAAATTGTACACATCGCGATGCTCGTGCAATAAACGAGCGGACCGTATGCGTGTTAAAACAAAATGGCGTCACGATTTATTGAAAGTGGTATAGTTGGTGGTACGAGTGTTCAAACCCATTTGAACTAACATACTGTTCGTCTTTTTTTTGACATGCTCTCTTTCCATCGTCCTTAGCTTTTGTTTGTTGAGAGCTGTTTTGGCTTTCTCCTATACCTCTGGGGGATGCCAAGTGATGGTTTTGAGAGGCTGGTGATGGCTGTGAGCGAGAGTTTGCCGATCGGCGTCGTCCTCGCTATAGCGATGAAAATACTAGTTACTGCGCACCTGGCAGATATCACAACACGTCGGAGCGTCCAGGAGCAAAGGAATCTTGGGTTTTCACTGGAATCTAGTTCCTCCAGCATCGTGTAGCCCACCGTCGGTGAATGGCCGTCCAGAAAGGTCGAACCTGGTCTTCTGCAGCATCTCGCAGTCCTGCGAGGCACACTGAATACGCCTGTCATGTATTCTACAAATAAAAATCACGAAGTAGTGGACTTTATAGTGATGAGTCTATCCTGTATGCTGCAAAAGACGCAGGAAATGTGACTGGTGTCCGTACACTGGACGCCAATATCATCCCAGTCTTCTCCTGCAGGATCTGTTTGACATTGACATACCGGTATGCAGTGGGTCGACATTGGCCTGGTTTGGCAGCTATCTGCCTGGGTGGATGTAGCAGGTTTGCATTGGCGCGTCGTCCAGTCCGACATTTTCTTGTAACTGTGGAGTACCGGCAGGGTTTGAGAGGTTGCTCGTGCTGTGAACACATCTCTACTGCCTGTCTCGTCCTGGAAATGCCGTCTCGCCGCTTCCTTGCTCTACAGTCACGCCGTTATTTCGCTTTGTTTCGTGGTGCAGCTCAAAACCTGCCCAAACAACTGTGAGCTCGCAACATGGTATGGACAAATTGCACCACTCATGCTGGTTAACTAAAACCGGGATAGTCGAGTAAGCGAGTTCACTCCCTGGGCCATGGCAAGATCTGTTCAGCGCGGGCTATTCCAACCTCTAAGTGCATAGTCACCGATCGATCCATGCGATGGTGGTTGACCTACAAAGAGCCAAGGTCTACGAGTACTACTATTGGATTCTGTCTACATGCAGTCAACAAAATCAAAGTACCTCAGTATGCCCCAGAATAGGGCATGTGCATCTATAGCATGACACAACAGGGGTTCTGGCGGCACCTGTCAAACAAGCAGTAGACTAGTGCCGGCTACCTATTGGAGCCTAGCCACTACAGTCTGTCACTGGAGATAATTATTATGTTCACTGTTTAGACTGAGCACAATCAATGATGCCCAATCAATCTGCCCAGTGTGTGTTCTGTTCCACCTAATTATAACGTCCCATCGCATCAACCCTACTACACGCACATGTCGTCACTCTAGCATGACTTGTGTTATTATTGTTTATTTTGATTCGCACGATAAATAGAGCACAATAAACGTTAACTTGACCGAAGGATAAAGGCGACTGCAGATAGAGGAACACATCGAGGTACAGGTACCGGCATTAATACAGTATCAGAGAGAAACAAACAAAAATGAGAGGTACGCAGAAAAAACTCTCGTAGCCCAAGGGGAAGTGGTTGATGAGGGATGAATGTACTCTCCACGCTCATCTACACTGTTCGTGGAAATGCACACATACATACAATAATATACAACATAGCAATAGCATGCACAGAACCGAACAATTTCATGTTCACACATGCAAGCACAGACCTGAACATTAGTACCAAAAGCCGATACAGACAATATCCCCATACACACAGACGCACACACACACACAATGTCCCATGTATGCGCCCGTGGCGAGAAAAGCACGCAAATCTAGAAATGCACTGGATGTGAACCCACAGATTTTCTCTTATAGCAACGATAGCGGATCTGATTCTGAATGAAACACACACACACAATACAATCATTGAATGCCCATCCGCAGATGATGGCAGGTCCTGAAAGAACAGGCAGTGTTCCAGTAATGGGGAACAGAACTTCGAGTGGCGAGTGAGGTATACACACACACACGTGCGTGCGCAGGCACACACTAAAGTATTCAGAAATAGAATCGACATTGTAGTATTCATTGGTTTGGGAATGGAAAGGAAAATAAAACATTGCGGTAGGTTATTGTTGTAAGGACACTGGGAGCACAACAGAAAGGTAAGCAACTTGCTTTGAAGCAAAGAAAGTTATTATTCCACGGATCTCAGAAGGAAGGAACGTTCCAGAATGCTGCACTGGCAACAGGCGGCCTGCATGTGCGCGGCCCCTGCAGTCGGTCCAGCTGCCGGCCTTGCAGTGCTGAAAAGAATTTGCAGTACAGCATGTCACATAGTATCGCAGCCTGGACAAATAGGCGCTGGGAAGTCCTAGTTATGTGCTCACGTACACCACGATGCACCAATCTTCTGAGCTACTTTGGCAACAACTTTGTCCACTTGAGACTCCCATGGGCTGAGCCAGTTGTTGAGGGCTGCACCAAGGTGGACGGAAATGACCGCTGATGGCAAGGCAATCCATGACACAAAGTCACTAGGGCATCGTCAACATGGCGCTGAGGCTGGATCGATAAAATCAACCTTTAGGCTGTCGCGGGGTTGACAACGAGGCCGCTGTCTCGAAGCTAGTCAGTCAGCCTGGTCACCGCCATTGACGAACAAGTCGCCACCGCCAGCAGTGGCGGTAGGTTGTGACAAGTGTTGTGCAATATTGTCAGCAAATTCAGTACTTAGGATAAGGTGAGTGACAAAGGGAACGTTGTGTTTGATAATATTGAAGTGAACAGGGATGATCACAAACCCTGCGCGTACTCCACCGTGAGTTCAACAAGAAAATTCCGGACTGGACGACGAGCAAACGCCAACCTGCTACATCCAACCAGGCAGATAATATTACGATAGCTGCCAAACCAGGTCAATGCCGACCTACTGCATAATGTCAATGTCAAACAGATCCTGCCGGAGAAGACTGGGGTGTTGGCGTCCACTCACTGAGTGTACAGACACCAGTCACATTTCTTGTGTCTTTTGCAGCATACAGGCTGAGACTCATCACTGTAGAGTCCACTACTGCATGAGTTTTATTTGTACAATACATGGCAGGCATACACGGTGTGCCTCGCAGGACTGCGAGGTGCTGCAGAAGACCAGGTTCGACCTTTCTGGATCGCCATTCACCGACGGTGGGCTACACGATGCTGGAGGAACTAGATTCCAGTGAAAACCCAAGATTCCTTTTCTCCTGGACGCTCCGACGTGTTGTGATATCTGCCAGGTGCGCAGTAACTAGTATTTTCATCGCTACAGCGAGGACGACGCCGATCGGCAAACTCTCGCTCACAGCCATCACCAGCCTCTCAAAACCATCACTTGGCATCCCCCAGAGGTACAGGAGAAAGCCAAAACAGCTCACAACAAACAAAAGCTAAGGACGATGGAAAGAGAGCATGTCAAAAAGAAGACGAACAGTATGAAGTTCAAATGGTTTTGAACACTCGTACCACCAACTATACCACTTTCAATAAATCGTGACGCCATTTTGTTTTACATGAATATCGCGGATTGTCGTGCGTACCATCAAGAGTACATAACACACACTGTGTAGTTAACTAGTTATGTACTCTTGGTACCTAGTACCTGTACATAGGTGCCATCATTTTTCTTTGTTTCAATAAAATATTCTAACGTACCATCAAGAGTTCATAACCCCGGGGGTTATGAACTCTTGGTACCATGCATACCCCGGACCCTTGTAATTGTGCGTACACGCCGTAGATCTACGGTGATGCATGGAGGGGGGGGGGGGGTCAAGCAGCTGCTTGACAACTACCGTTACCATGGTTACTTGATGAAGGGGGGGGGGGGGAGGGCAAGGAGCTGCACGGCATGCATACATGAATGATGAAGCCAAGACCAGACACTTGCAACTTCGGAGTAAAACAGATCTACCATACTCTCCATGATGAAGCTCGAAGCCGAGTGAGAAAAAGAAAAACGATAACATCCAAAAGCGCTACAGGGTCGTCCACAAAATTGTTTAGAGAGAAATTGACCATATTGCCTGGGGAAATGAACAAGCTATCGTCTTTAACGACACAAGGCTAATCTTTCAATATACGTGTAGATCTGGTACTGTAGGTACATGTGGCAGGGAAGGCAAAAAATAAAAGAAAAACAGAACTTCCACAATGGAGCCGGTCTCCCCTTTGCAAAGACCAAAGATGGCAGACATTTCCAACATGGACTTTGATGTTACAATCAGCGATGAGCTTCTTGGGGAAGCAGTGCAATATGTATAACGTTAGTGAAGCACTTGGCACTCAAATTAGTTGGTTGTAACGTTTAAGTCATTTCAATTTTTCACACTAAACGTACTATAAGGTTTCCTCACTACAACCTCTCCAATTATTTGAGTAGAAAGGTAGTTTTTGCTGGAAGATACACCCAGGGTGCTCCAATGCCGTGGATGAGGCAGAGCGGACTACAGAGTGCAACAGAACAACACGGCTATTCATGCTCAGTACCGCAATCATCACTGACATCAGGCAACAGTTGCTTGATGGCGGTACTAAGCATGGAACTCCAGAGTTGCAACAAATGTAGCCGCTTGTTACACTGTTGTACTGTGCAGTTACTAACATTTTAAGCGACATTCTACCGTCAACCTTATAGCCGATCTCTACCTGTACGACAATAGGTAATGGACTAATGCAGTGTACATGAAGCCAAGACTGAGCAGGTCGAATGAGTTACTGTGAATGCTGTCACGGCGATATTCCTACAGTTATACACCACTATATAGAAGTCGAAAGACCAAAGCCAGTAAATGTCATGCATTGCAAATCCAAATCCCACATTACCTCTTCCAGCGTCATTCAACTGGAAGTGCCACACTCTGATTCTGGTTCTGACGGCCCTTTTCTCAGAGACTGAGAGTAGTCATTGGAAGTAGTCTCCAATGACTACGATACAGGCATTAAGGTACACGCTGATCACCGCGTTGCACAAAAATCACACGTTACATGGTCCAATCTTGGCTTACGCGTTACACACGATGTATGTACAAAACGTTACAATCATCACTTTTTAACTTCATGCAAATTTTATAAAACAACGGAATTTTCAAGTACGACACATTTCATGGATGTCTGTGAGAAAAGATGACAAGAGACATAAAAGTAAAAAGATACACTTCATGCAAATCGAAGCCAACTCTACTGTCAGATGCCTATGCTACAAGACTATGATGTGGAACAAACTCGCCATACCTGTGTGGAAAAACTAGATGAGATCGGCAACATTCATTGGCATTTCATCAATTTGCGTACTGTAGTACTGCTCGATATCACGGAGAATGCGGATGTCATCACTCTTCACAAAGTTGATGGCAACACCCTTGCGACCGTAGCGACCTGATCGACCGATGCGATGGATGTACAACTCACGGTTGTTGGGCAGATCGTAGTTGATCACCAGCGATACTTGCTGCACATCAAGATCTCGTGCCAAGACATCTGTTGAAATCAAGACATGGCTGTCACCAGCTCGGAACTTCTTCATGATGGCTTCCCTCTCTTTCTGTGGCATGTCTCCATGCATTGATGCTACTGTGAAGTTGGCCTCCACCATCTTCTCGTTCAGCCAATCAACCTTTCTCTTGGTGTTGCAGAAGATGACGGCCTGTGTACTGGTGAGTGTGTCGTACAAATCACACAGAGTATCGAACTTCCATTCCTCTCTCTCGACAGCAACAAAGAACTGCTTGATACCCTCCAGGGTCAGTTCATCACGCTTTACAAGAATGCGAATGGGATTGCTCATAAACTTGTGGGTCATTTCAAGAATCTCATGAGGAAGAGTAGCGCTGATAAAAACGACTTGCGTGCCTGGTGGCAAATAACGGTACACCTCGTAGACCTGCTCCTTGAATCCTTTGTTCAACATCTCATCAGCCTCATCCAATACCAGCATCTTGATGGAGCGAGTACGCAATGCACGGCGAGAAATCATGTCACGAACGCGGCCCGGCGTTCCAGACACTATGTGTTGGCCATACTCTAGCTTCCGGATATCCTCTCCAACATTGGTACCACCAATGCACGAATGAACCTGCACATTCATATGGTCTCCAAGTGCTAAAACCACTCTCTGAATCTGTGTTGCCAACTCACGAGTCGGTGAGAGGGCTAGAACCTGCGTTTCACGAAGCTGGGTGTCCAAAATCTGCAATGAAGAGATTGAGAAAGTAGCTGTCTTTCCAGTACCGGTCTGTGCCTGCGCAATCACATCTCTTCCACTGGTTATTGGTTTGATGGACCGTTGCTGAATAGCAGATGGCTTCTCAAAGCCGTAAGCATAAATTCCTCGCAAAAGTTCCTCACGTAGACCCATACTATCAAAGGTCGGTGTAACTTGCACTTCCTCTGAGGTTTCGAACACGACATTTGATAGGTCTGCATCGTTCCCCTTCACTTTCCTGGTCGCCATTGTGCCGAACCTTCATTGCCACTTCAAAGCAAATCGAACGGCGAAGGAAGAACATTCATCGCCCGACAAGATTGTGGCCGTGGAGTTAGGGAGTTTTGAAGCGCTTTTACTTCCAAATTTTGTTGCCATGGCAGCAGTGACCCGTGCCACGTGCAAAAAAAGTGCAAAAAATTCTTTCCCAAAGGATTTCTTTGCTGTTGCAGTTTCGAGCGCGAAGCACAATGGGGAACAAGAAGAGCAGGTCGTGCAAGCGTCCTGCAAAGAGAAGATTCTCACTGCACGCAGCACCTGTCCAGGAAGCTGCTGAGGGAGTGTATGAAGCTGAAGCAGTGCCAGAGTCCGCCTCGAAGCGCAAGTTGTACGATGGCGTTCCAAAAATATGAATACAGTGATCATAATAAAAATTAATGGATTCAACTGAGCGATAGTGAGTCGGATTCGGAGGAGAGCTTTGATGGATGTGCGCTGGCCTCGAACTCAGACAGTTGCTCCCTCGAGTGATTCCTCGTTCTCTGAAGACTGTCATGGCCCAATCGCTGAAAGTTGTGATTCAGACGCCACTGGACTTGAATTGTTTACGAAATTTGATTTTCTCTGCTTGCTCGTGTAAAATACTGTGGAGGTGAGCTGACCATTGCTGAAACTGCACGTTCTGGCCTTGCATCCACTGTCAGAATCACATGCTGCAATGAAGAGCCAGTGTTCAGCAGGCACCAGCCTGCCAGTGGTGGAGAAGTCAGGACAGTTTTATGAGTGCAATCGCCGCAGTGTTCTGGCATTGCGCACGCTGGGAATTGGCCATGTTGGCTGGCAATTTTTTTGCGGCCTCATGAATTTGCCCCACCTGTTCAGCTATCTGCATTCCAGCGGCACCAGCGAGCATTGTGCAAGGCGGCAAGGTCAGTTGCGCAAATCAGCATGAACGAAGCAGCAGATGAACAAGACAATGGACAGGCCTAAGCATATAACTGCTGTCACCTATGATGGTACGTGAATGAAGCGCGGGTTTTCCTCCCTACACTGTGCGTTTACGGCAATTGACTGGCAAGTCGGGAAGGTCCTTGATGTGCATCTAGCTTCCAAGTACTGCCATGGCTTCAGCTTGTGGAAAGCTCGCCAGGCGCATAGTGAAGTCAAAGCTGACGAGTATGAGAAGTGGAAGTCGGGCCATATCCCTCTCTGCAACCGCACCTGGCGTTTTTGCAGAACGCCAGCTCATGTTGGATAGTATTAGAGTGGCCAAGGCTGAGAAGAAGATGAAGCAGGAGGAAAAACAGCGAAGGAAACAAAGGAGGAGGTGCAGGAAGGGAGTTGAGGAGCAGATTATGGAAGCTGAGGGTGTCACATACGAGGCTGGTGGGTTTTAGTTGGAACAATAGTCTTAGAATCTATGAAAAGGACACCTAAATGTTTGTGCTTTTTGGCCTTTTTCTGCCTTCTTGGACGTGATTGCGGCTAGTGTGTTTATTTTAGACCTATCAACCCATACATTTTTGGAATCAGTGACTTGTTGCGCAGGGATTGAACTACAATGGTGATCATAGGACCTTTTACATTGGATTTTGAGCTCCCACAGTGCCTTCTATTTTACGCGTTTTGCGGCTCGTCCTGTTTTGTCTCTGCATTTGGGGTAGTAATACCTGTCAGATAGAGTTCATTGTAGTTCATTCCCTGCATAGGCATATGGACTGGGTTTTGCTGCATTTTGGAACTGTCTGTGTTGATACATCTTGCTGCAAAGTTGTCCAAAAAAATTGCTGTTCGTGCGCACCCGTGAAGAATTTGTGTAGCCCATCAAGCATTACTGGGATGAACTGTAAATTCTCTTTTTGGTGCCTACATTGTGGAGCAGTATATTATAGTGATTGAACATAGAACATTTGAAGGCAATCTGCCAATCCGTTTTCATGATATGCCTATTTCAATTGTATGCGGTATGATTTGGGCCGCGAATGGTGGTGTCCCCCCTTAAACAATAAAAAAACTTACAAAAATTACAAATGCTGTAAATCGGTAACCAACCATTTTCTTCCGGATGACGAGGGATCCGGATAAAAGAGGACCGGATAAGCGAGGTCTGACTGTATTGTTCGCTGACACAGTATTGGTATATGAGTGGGAAAAAATTGTATTCAGTTTTAGACCATGCCAACGGTGCTACTCGTAGTTTGTAATCGCAAACACTCACTGCGCGGCAGCTTTGGCACACCGGACATGGCGTACACAAAGAATCACAAGTCATGATGTCATCGCGTAACCTCCACAAATATTACGAATGAACGAACACTGAACAGTCAAGATCAGTATGAGTAGATTACTAGAAGACGCTGAGCCCCAATCGAATGCCAACTCATTTTCTTTTCAGGGTTTGAGGATCCGGAAGAGCTCTGTAGTGTAGAAAGTCTTGTTTGTATGAAGGAAGCTTCCTCATGTGTGTGTGTGTGTGTATGTGTGTGTGTGTGTGTGTGTGTGTATGTGTGTGCGTGTGTGTGTGTGTGTGTGTGTGCGCGCGCGCGTTTGTGTTGATCTCTGCATGATGAGATGTAAGGGGAACCTAACACTTGAACTCTGATGCCATCCGCCATCGCTGCGGCATTGAATGAAGTACAAGTGACTTCATTCTTAAGTCTGTTCATATAATATTATATTGCAGATTGAGTTATTGTACACTCATGAAAATACCAGCATGAAAATGGTTACATGTACATGCCGACTGGAAGTGGAAATCCACAAAGTCCTTACCTTTTGCGGTGTACGCGTCATGCGATCAGCAAGGACTGAGGTGATCACATGACAAGGTATTTGCCGGACCGGATCATGTGATCATGGGGACGTAGATCATCCAACTCCAAGGGAGGACTTTTACAGTAAACCAAGTCACATCCACATCAGACTGGAAACGTGCAAGCAGCAGTCCAGCACTGTTGTGAATGCGCCAGTGGTCTACCAGCCTAGCTGCCCACCTGCCGCATAGCTCTCTGGAAAGGAGAAGATTGCGCGGCCGCTGTGATGGGCAGCTACTTGAATGGCTGGCTGCGACCGGGAGAGGCTAGATGGCAGCACCTCTCCATTACGAAGTAAGCGTCATATGTTCAGAAAGTCTGAGGCGAAGTAAGCGGCTTGGCCCAGGCCAGCAGCTCCTTCCAAGGTGTGGTAGTCATCTTGGAAGGCTGGTGTGAAGCTGCATAGGGTGCAACATCGCCTTTTATACTGATTGTGAGCACGGCGTTATGCATGAGCATTTGTCAGGACATGGTCATACAGTCGACCATCATAGTATTGCCTTTATTACGTGCAATAACTGCATCGTACATGTACATGTGCTTCGTGCTTGACGGAATGGTGATGGTGCCATGATTATAGTTATCATCAGCCAAAATTGTTCAACAGACGACAGCTCAGTTTGTACAGGTACCTCAAGACAAGCTCTGAATCATGACCTGAATTAGCTGACTTGAACTCTTGATATGCATGCACACTCAACTGCATGCTCTGGCTGTCTGAACTGCTTGCCACTTCTTGGCTTGGGTACGAAAATGCTGACACTATTGTCATCCATGTTATGCCAAACATGGTAAAGACGTTCTGTAAGTGCTCTGCAGTTGTCCAGCATCAAGCTCGATCGCGATCACAGCCACAGAGCATGATGGGGCCAGTTGGGATGCAGCCTTGGCTCAGTATCTCGTGTACTTAGACAGCCAGTCTAAACCGGTTATGCGTGTACTGTACTGTAGTCTGTACTGTACTGGGGGCGTTGAGGATCGGAACAACACTGGACAAGAAGGCAATGCCAAAGCCCATGAAAACGCCATGCATCTCGTGATACTGGCAGTAGTAATCTCTATGCATACCGGTATGCACCCGGTCCAGGGTCCTGCTGTGCAACTCACTAAAAGTCACCACTCTCATCGCTTACTGACTCTCCACACACATCTTTTACTACAGTGCAGTGAGCGGAATGTGCATGAGAACAACAATGGAAGAAGATTACAAATACATGTACAAAATTAATGAGTCTATACTTGTTATCAAGAGTACAAAACCCCTGGGGTTATGGTTATGTACTCTTGTTGTTATGAGTCCATGCCTACTACAAGTGCATGACCATTGTATTCGCAGCAGAGTTCTGAGTTCTGCCACTAGACTACAGTAGTACAGTAGTACAGTAGTACAATAGTACGAGAGGGTTAGTACTGAGTATTAGTATTAGTAGCACACACTGTCTGTAGACGTTAGTAGCCCAGTGATACATTATCCTAGCTAGCTGGTTACTAGTATTGTACATACATTATGTACAAAGAAAGATAATAATTGATCTCTCTTGTTCTGCCTTGTGTACATGCATGGACAGTTATTTGTACATGGTTGTATAATGTATGCCTTGCTCTGCCATGCCAACCTGTCGAGTCTGTATGCACTGCCTATAAATAATATTCGCGGGATCCGCGTTAGCATCACTTGAATGTTCAGAGACACACAAGATAGCCTTCGATTCTGCAGGCCACCACTATGCCTTTTCACCTTAGTGGCAGATGCAGACCTCACAAGTGCACTACCTAGAATTGTATTAAGCCTGGGTGACACCCTGTCACTCCGGGTCCGCGGGCGGCATGCTGCTGCGCGTGCTACCCTGTCTTACACTACTGTACTGTCTACTAGTACTGTACATAATGACTTACCGTATGTTCCACGGGTCCGGTCACGCATTCAGTACCCGTGCCATGCCCCGCCAAGTCACTGCGTGTCTGGTAAAATACCTGCACTGAGTCTGTGCATAATGCAGACTATGGCTATGGTCCAGAAATGCATGGCACCGCCGGTTTCTACCAGGTCCAGGTGCCAGATCAACTCTGGATTTCGTCATCGCGCGCAACAGAAGATTATGTCATTCCGATAATTGAATGATGACACTTGTACCAACTACGTCATTGTTACTGCTTTGGTACGTATTGTCCTCAACTAACTGACGACCTGCATGCAGTCATGTAGGCCGCGAAGTACCAGTTTGCAGCACTCAACGACGTCTCAAGAAGTGGACAGACGGTATAAAACGAGCCCAGGTAGCTCTCTCAACTCAGTTC